TTAACTGGGGATCAGGAGCCCTCCCTGGGCTGAACTGGGGAACAGGAGCCCTCCCTGGGCTGAACTGGGGAACAGGAGCCCTCCCTGGGCTGAACTGGGGAACAGGAGCCCTTCCTGAGCTGAACTGGGAAACAGGATCCCTCCCTGGGCTGAACTGGGGATCAGGAGCCCCCCCTGGGCTATACTCGGGAACAGAAGCCCTTCCTGGGCAGGCGACGCGAGCGGCAATTTCCATCGCCGCGGAGGGGAAAAACCAGGAAACAAAAAACTTTTTAAAAAACACGGAAATTAAACACGGGGAAGGGATGCCGCTTACGGTTTGGTCCTGTATTCTGTCACGGGTGCACTGCTGAGCGGAGTCAGGAGCAAGGAACGGAGAGAGACGGAGGAGTACATCAATCCAAAAGGGTTTAATGAACACAAAGGAACACGGAACACTCACGCAATCACTGTAGACATAGACAATACCGGACACTGGAGCACACACAGGGAACCCAATTTATACACACAGGAGGATGGGGATGACGAGACACACCTGAGAGCAATGAACCATCAAGGGAAACACCTGGGACAAATTAAACATGGGAAAGGAAGGCACATGAGGAGCAAAACAACCACAAAACACAGAACAGAGTCTGACAATAGTCTTGACCGCATAAATTAAATATAGATTAATTCTTGTTAAAACTACAAAAGTAATTCAGTCGAGAGCAGTGAGTGATTTTCTCTCTTTTGTTTTCCTGGATTAACATTAAGGACACCGACAGTAGCAAGCAAATTAAGCGCGGTCACTTTAAGAGACAATACATCAAATAATACATCAAATGATACACATCCGATTTCTTACTCAAGGGTTTATGTTCACTTAAGACATACCCAACAGTTTTTCAAGGATACTCACCAAGATGGGTATTTCAACATAATTTGTATGTATTTTTGGTAACACTTTATTTTAGGGTCTCTTAACTAGTTGCTTGTTAGCATGCATATTTCTAGAATATTAGCCATTTATTAGTACTAATTAAGCACATATTAATGCCTTATTTTTACATTACCTTATTCTACATCCCTAATCCTAGCCAATACCTAAATTTAACAACTACCTTACTAACTATTAATAAGCAGCAAATTAGGAATTTATTGAGGCAAAAGTATAATTTTGGTTTTCTTTTCATTGAGATTCAGAAAATTTGATGACATCCAGACATCAAGTGCACACAGGGAGCCCAGGGAGCAGTTGGGGGTTTGGTGCCTTGCCCCCTTACAATCCCTGCCAGTACTGAGACAATTTCGGAAGCTGACGTATACGTTGCATGTCAGAGAGCTGGAGCTGTCTCAGATACGTCTTCGCCACACATATGTACTTTTATATTACATGAACCTTATTTTAGAAAATAATATTAATAACAACTTTCACACTGACTTTATATAATAATTATACATACCTCCGCAACAGCTTTGTGGTTTCATCGATGGTATATATAAGGCCTAATTTATTTTGAAATGCTTTTGTTCATAATCATTAAATACTATTAAAATACTGAAAAATAGACTTTAGACTTTATAGTTATACAAAAAATAACCTCATATCACACACACACACATATAACACAAAATTTATGTATTTATTATTTTTAATGTTTTGAAACTCTCCCGAGACTCAGTTAAAGTGACGTCATAGAGCGGCCTCAGGTGACTGGTAATTTTACATTAGGATGAATACGCTACCTACAGGTGATTGTTTTTTTTTTTTTTTAAATCATCCAGCAAAATATCATCATCTTTATCATCTCTTGTAAATTAACAATGCTGCCTCAGTAAATGAGTAAAACTTTGAGTCGATGCCTAACTAATATATAGTAATATTAATAATGCATGAAATAAACATTCAAGCAGAAATAAGAAACATGTCAACCGCATCTCTCATTCAAACTCGCTCGCTCCCTGCCATCTCTTCCAGCTCGTCTGTCCTCTCCACATCGGATTATGGGAAATAGTGCTTCAGCGAGTGTACATCAGTTGTACACTCAAAATCAGAAAGGATTGTGGATAAAAAGTAGTGAACAAATGTAGGGAATGTAGTCATTCATAAAGCTCTAAACAAATGTATAATTTATTTTTTCCCCACAGCCTTTGCAGTTGTGTCTCAGATACGTCTTCGCCACACATATGTACTTTTATATTACATGAACCTTATTTTAGAAAATAATATTAATAACAACTTTCACACTGACTTTATATAATAATTATACATACCTCCGCAACAGCTTTGTGGTTTCATCGATGGTATATATAAGGCCTAATTTATTTTGAAATGCTTTTGTTCATAATCATTAAATACTATTAAAATACTGAAAAATAGACTTTAGACTTTATAGTTATACAAAAAATAACCTCATATCACACACACACACATATAACACAAAATTTATGTATTTATTATTTTTAATGTTTTGAAACTCTCCCGAGATGCACACTCAGTTAAGGTGACGGTCATAGAGCGGCCTCAGGTGACTGGTAATTTTACATTAGGATGAATACGCTACCTACAGGTGATTTTTTTTTTTTTTTTTTAAATCATCCAGCAAAATATCATCATCTTTATCATCTCTTGTAAATTAACAATGCTGCCTCAGTAAATGAGTAAAACTTTGAGTCGATGCCTAACTAATATATAGTAATATTAATAATGCATGAAATAAACATTCAAGCCCTGAACTTGTTAAAACAATTATCTTTATGTAAGATATGTTTCAAGCTTTCAACATATTTTAAGTCTTAATATGTTTTCCTTCTGTTAACTTTTTACTTAAACTTTTTCTTTAACTGTTTATCATTAAATCATATTGGGATGTTTGTCAGACACCCAATTCAGGCCTTGCAGTCTCTACTAAAGAGATGAAGAGTTGAAGTTTAAAAACCCCTGATTTAGAGAACTAGGCGCTTATGGCACATTAAAGGGAGATGAAGAGAGGTGTGACGTGGGCACTTATGTGCATGTCGAAGAACAGTTTTGCTGCTGCATTCTGAATCTTTTGTAAAGGTTTGATTGAACATAATAAAAGTCTAGCCAGAAGAGCATTGCAGTAGTCCAGCCCAAACTCGCTCGCTCCCTGCCATCTCTTCCAGCTCGTCTGTCCTCTCCACATCGGATTATGGGAAATAGTGCTTCAGCGAGTGTACATCAGTTGTACACTCAAAATCAGAAAGGATTGTGGATAAAAAGTAGTGAACAAATGTAGGGAATGTAGTCATTCATAAAGCTCTAAACAAATGTATAATTTATTTTTTCCCCACAGCCTTTGCAGTTGCACTGTATACATAAATTATGAATTATAAAATGAAAAAGTATTTTTTAATTTACACTGAAAAATGCTTGGAGAACCATCCTCAAACTTAATCCTGAACTTGTTAAAACAATTATCTTTATGTAAGATATGTTTCAAGGTTTCAACATATTTTAAGTCTTAATATGTTTTCCTTCTGTTAACTTTTTACTTAAACTTTTTCTTTAACTGTTTATCATTAAATCATATTGGGATGTTTGTCAGACACCCAATTCAGGCCTTGCAGTCTCTACTAAAGAGATGAAGAGTTGAAGTTTAAAAACCCCTGATTTAGAGAACTAGGCGCTTATGGCACATTAAAGGGAGATGAAGAGAGGTGTGACGTGGGCACTTATGTGCATGTCGAAGAACAGTTTTGCTGCTGCATTCTGAATCTTTTGTAAAGGTTTGATTGAACATAATAAAAGTCTAGCCAGAAGAGCATTGCAGTAGTCCAGCCTAGAAATGACAAGGGCCTGGACAAGAAGTTGTGCAGCACGTTAGGAAGGGCCTGATCTTTCTGATGTTGTGCAATGCAAATCTGCCTGATCAAGCGGTTTTTGCAATGTGTTCTTTGAAGGTCAGCTGGTCATCAAAGATTATGCGAAAAATTCTTACCAAAAATTGATGGGGTAATTGTTGATGAACCTAGCTGGATGGTGCAATTATGCTGTAGAGTCGGACTGGCAGGGAAGACAGAGAAGCTCAGTCTTTGCCAGTCCAGACATTATAACCAAAGTCCTCTCTTTTTTTTCAGATTGACAGGCGGTCATCTCACTGATCAGCACTGTGAAATCCTGTCTTCAGCTCTACAATCATCAAACTCTTCTCTGAGAGAGCTGGACCTGAGTAACAATGACCTGCAAGATTCAGGAGTGAAGCAGCTCTGTGCTGGACTGAAGAGTCCAAACTGTCAACTCAACATACTGAGGTACTTAAGGGTCTGTTTAAAATAACAGCATACAAGCACACAGTTGGTATGTACAGTTCCACCCTCACTAATATAAGGCTGTTATTTGCATTGATTCACTCGTTTTCTCGATGCATTGATTACAAACCCTGACGATACAATGCATCGATCTTGAAACATGGATTTTTGAATCGTGAATCGCCGATTTCGGACTGTAATCGATTTAAAACGCTAAGAATCGAATGAACCGCGATTTCTATAGTGATTCAATGCTTTCAAATATATATACACATTAAATCACTACAAGCAGGAATTAATGGAGACCTTGAACAGTGTTCGTGCCCTCGCATCTCTCCTTCAC